GGAGCTACTGTCGATCAAGTAATAACACCGTCGTTTTACGTGTGTGTTGTGTGTTTAATATATAATATACTTATTAAATGATATTACTAAACACACTATTTCATAGCCTGGCAGAAAGAGAGAGGCGGGAGCCAAGACAATATGACTAAATGCAGCCTGCGCTGGTGTTTCCAACCGAACAATGAGCCTGATTGGGCTCAGAAGGTTATGTGAGCGGAGTTTCGAATACATTTGATGTTTGCTATCTTCGCATTGTATTTACCTTGCAAAACGAAAAACAGCATGCGACGTGCAAAGGGAAACGTCAGCTTTTATATCGTGGCTTAAAACCTCGATAAAGAAGGCCTAAAGGCTCGATCAATACGCTTATGCATAAGCGCACACCTAACATAGCGCAGTCATCTTAACATTTTCACGAGAAAGAAAGACGCTTTGGTGTGGCTTCCACACACGTAATCTACCACTGATGAGTGTGAGTAGGTACTGTCCACAGCAGAAGTAATGTGCGGTTTCAGTCAATGGTATGTTCTGCTTCTAAAGCTTAGGAACGATTAGCCAGACTACAATGAAACTTTAAATGTAGCTTACATGTATCGTCACCCTTGCAGCTGCAACTTTGTGTATTGACGTCTTCTTTTCTATCACTCCGCATTAAAAAATCGCCAGTCAAAGCCATCCGGCGAGATTGGTAAAACCGCACATTACTTTAGCGGTGGGCTGTACATCGGTGGCGTGTCCTTTGTTTTGCTCTCATCTCCCTCACACACCAGCTCACGCTTCTCACACCTTCCTCCACTCATCCTCAGCTGTCACCCCTCCCCTCCACAGCCCCCTCACATCCCATCATGACACCATGTGATCGCTCGCCGAACCATTGGTCGTCGCGCCACCAGCACAGCTCTCCGACCATCTGCGGAGATCGGCACAGCACGGCCGTATGCCTCTGATCGGTGCGGCGTGCTTACGTCGGCTATCACGCTCGGGGCAGATGGCCGTGTGGAGGATAGTGGTGGTCGGGCTCTCAGGCTTTGGTGGACATAGGGCTTAGTTGTGTGTGTAAGAGGAGCGAGCAGGGAGATGGAGGGGAATATGCTGACAGGCAGCCAAAAGCAAGATTTACCGCATTCTGCTGCGCATTTCAACGACATAAGTGCAAGTGAATAGCCCGCGCCCGTAAGGATGGGGAAATCGGAAACAGATATCTACCTTCTTCCTTCGATAAAGCCAAAATAATACCTACTGATAAACCGTCACCAAAGCCTCAGAATCACATCAATTGTACGCATAATTAACTTTTACGAAAAAGGAGTTTGTGCTACACCGCTGGAAATAACACAAGGGTGGCGTTGTGCTCTGAAACCGAAGACCTCAAGAAGTCTGCGGGAAGAGTGGTCATGATCAAGCCTAAAGTTTTTAGTTTTACGTCATTCATGATGAAGACAAATACCTAATAAGCAGCTCAGAAATCTTAAACACCTTCTTAGGATTTAAACCCGAAATTTTGGACCAAAAGTGGCAAAAATAAAAAAAGAAAAAGATTAAAAAGCGCACTCAAGGCAAAATATTCCACGCCAAGAATGCTTCCAGCGTTTTAGGCATGGAAGTGCATACGAGCTATTCACAGCAACCATTACGAGCCACGGTCGTGGAAGTATGTACTATCTAGTATCTAATTTATATAACCGGGAATTTTTCATTAACGAGAAGGTGGCGCGTGCCGCTAGCTGTCCCCGGCAGGTATCATCGCTCTCCACCCTGACACCTTGTCGTGACTCGCAAATATGTTCAGTACCCACCGTCTTTTATATGCGCAGATAAGCTCATGCACTCACCAACATTATAACACCATAGACTCTCTGTAACAAGCTCAAGGGCTTCTTGACCCAAAAAATAGTGTAACACACATTTCACTGTCTCGTCATGTTCTTGTAAGGTTTCGTATTTAAAGGTAGTGTGCCAGCTTTCTTGGACCGTATGGAGTTAATGGCCCAGATAAGGAGAACCGGATTTTTAGAACTTATCCATACCTTCAAAACTCATGGAAACGTCTTAAATTCTTCAAATTTTGAGTACCCCAGTGCGAAATTCGCCCCGACGGATTGTCGGTCGTACCCCAACCACATTTCACACCACTATGAACAATAAATGCACACACTGAAATCGCTATTACCGATATGCTCATCCAATCAAGTTTCGATAAACCCGTTCATCATCATCTCCTGCGGTTTCGAACACGCCTGTTAGGTGGCTTCTGATGCTCGTCGAGGTCGGAATTTCCAAATACGCGTGGTGAGTCGGGCCGCGCGCTCTGACTTCGGCCAAGAAAAATGCGTCAGCTGATCATTGTCATTTCTGCCACTTGCGTGTGTTGAAATGAGGTCATAACTTATAAGACGGCTTTTTCATATCAATTATTTTACATAAAATCATATTTCAAACCATAAATAATGTTAGACAGCCAAATAAAAGAAACAATACCAATACGGGCTTACAGTTTAAGGCTCGACATTGTGTTGTCTACGATTAGACAGCTGATAACTCATTCCCGTACGTCGTATGGTCGTAACACTATAATGACCTTTGCTTATTGTCACAAGTGCGCCGCAATCGCGATTGTTGCCCGACGCCTGTTTGCAGGTGAGCCCACTACAGTTGTTATACATATCTAAAAACCGAAAAACTTTTAGGCGAAAAAGGCACTATACCAGGCCCATTTTTGATTTTTTTTTGCGATATTAGGTAAAAACAGAAGCTTCTTATCCTAGGAAAAATAAAATGGGAAATCTTTCAAAGGTGGCACACTACCTTTAAAGACGTGTTTCGCCCAGCATCCTCTTGAAACATGGAAAACGTATTGCCAAGCTGATAAATTCTAGCTTGCCTGGTTTGCCACAAGTGCACCATTGACAATGAGGTTGATGTGGCTTGCAAAGACATCTCGAAGGAACGTCAGTCGTCACTATACATACGTACAATTTTAACTGGACAACAGTCAACTCAAACATCAGAATGATATACGGGTAGGCAGAAAGCGTCAAAAGGCACTCAAAAATAAAAACCGCAAGATAACGTGACACTTCCAACAAATACCTGCGACTATGCCTGCAGAACACTGCCACCGCCGACCGCGTCTCATCTGCGTATGTTCTCAGGCCCGAGCCACATCGATTGTCCTGGATAGCAGCGCTGTGACCCGAGTGGCGAGGGTCATTATCGGCAGTATCAGACGCCGGAAGGGTGCCAGAAGTAGAAACCCGGCACGAGCCGCACTGGCACCTTTGTACATACCTCTTATGAAACGTGCTAGAAAAAAACATGATGTCCACACAGTAGGCATGGAAGATAGACAAGGGAAGAATTTTCATCAGTTTTTTTTTTTGTGAGTAGGAGGGCTCGAATTGCTGATTTATAATGTAAGCTACGCAGCAATGCAATAAGGTCAAATTTGCACAATAATGATAATCTTTTTTGCTCTTCAAAGGGGAAGGAAAAAGTGCAACGATAATTTTCACCACATTGCTATGCCTAGATTCCCATGTTAACCCATGTCCCAATGCGAAACACGATATCATGTGTTGCACATCTTCATCATGAGGTAGCAAACACGCAGACGTTGCACACGCAGCGGACAGGACAGCTAGAGGACAGGACAGCGGAAAACGTGACCACCATGGGCGGACAGGACAGCCAAGCACGTGACCATCAGGCGGACAGCGAGCGGACAGGCGGACACGCGAGGAACAGGAAGACACAGGACAGACAATGGGACACGTGTTGAACAGAGGAGAAGAACGCGCGGTTGCCAGAGGTGAACAAAAGAGTACAAACACTGGGAACAGAATGCGTAATGGTGGCAAATTGGACCCATTTATGGCCGCATAAGGCATAACGGGCCTAATAATAAATCGACGTTGATCGAACCGATGCCTCTTCTGACCAGCATTGGCTTTTTGCGTGATATAGCAGGTCGCTCACGTACGCTGCGCGTTTAGAGGTTTAGGTTTAGATATTTGGAGTTTTGGTTTAGGGTAAGTGTGTGAAACTATGCAGTTCCTTGTATATTGTACATGCTAATATGATCCATTTTCCATGGATATCTACATGTATAACGGGTCATCCAATACTGATGGGCCAATACGGTGGATGTAGAATTAGTGTGATAGTGAAAGTAAGGGATGTAGTGATAGACCTTATCCACTTTATGGTTTCGTGGCATTGTCAATAATTCTCCTAAAATCCATCAACATTTCGCCCCACACCAGCCATTGGCCGTGAGTAGCTGACGTGAGACTGCCCTGTCGGGGTCGAAGGCCGGCGTCCCAGCCATTCACCGCCTCCTAGTGGACATGTCCGCGGACAGTTGTCCTCCCCACCCCCTGTCCTACCACCCGCGGACAGTTCAGCGACATACAACGGCCGCTCACACACCCGTGAGAGAGCACGCATCGATCACACAAGTGGCCACAAAGACCGACTGACAGCTGCTTAACAATGCAGATCGCAGCGATACCGGGCTGCTAGCAGCCATTTGCACAGCGAGCTTAGTTCGGCAAAAATGGCTCTATCCATGTTTAGGTTGTAAACCGTATACGGCCTTGAAAATTGCGTTGATAGAACTGGAACTTATACATAAAAATGCTACATTATTTATCTCGCGCAATTTTAGGGACACCCATCACGTGATCCATTTTATTTCACATAAATGCATGATCGTGTGACGATGTGTAACTAATCGACTAACTAACTTACTAAACTAACTAACTAATCGTGTAACGCTCTTGTCTGTTTTACTGCACGCAAGTCCCAAATAAATAATGAATGTTTGAAAAGGTCATAAAAATCGGTTAACTGTTTCTCCTATAATTCATGTTTTCCCACCACGATGCATTCATCATCATTTCATGCTAGTTATCTTCACAATCAATTATTAAAAAAGGATCACTTGGATACATCGGGCGCTTAAAAGCAAAACGCTCATTTTGGGTTTCAAGCTACACTCATTGTTTTTAACACATTTCACTGTATTAGCAAGTGGACATGGCAGTAACATGACACCAACAACAGGTTGATAGGGAAACGAATTAGTTGAGAATGACGTACACCTGTCTCCATTCTCCCAAAAGCACATACAACAACACACTGTACAGTATTACTGTTATCCATGACATTTATTTACACATGTAATATCTTTTCCAAACACATTCATGAGTACACAATGGTCAATGAGTTAGCGAGTTACGTCAGACAATCTAACAGCGTTCAACAGTTAACCAGTGCAAACATTCCATAGAACACCGACTGGGTGGTCAGCACTCCCAGCACGATACAGTCTGCCATTACAACCACTCTATAGTACACTGTCGTTCAACAACCTCCAATACAACACATTTCACTGACGTAGCCATTTAAACACACACACGAGCGTTCAAACTCCCACTCACGTCACCAATCTTGATCAGACCTATGGCTATAGCACACGCCTCACTCCCTCTGTTCACTCGCTCACGCCCGTTCTGCTCACGGATGACGTCACACCTTGGTGACCAATCCGGTCACACTGCCGGACAGCGGTGCAGTTTGACATTGTCCACGTGAGTGGCGAGGTTGACAGCGTGTTTGCTGACGGAGAGTCGGCGCAGACAGCCGGAGAAGGGCCGGTAACAGAAGAACGGTAGCCCGGCCGGCAGCGATGGTGAACCGCCTGGGGGCACACGGAGTCGGCACGGGTCAGCAGGGGTGAGCACAGGTCAGAGGAGGTCAGCACAGGTCAGAGGTCAGCACAGGTCAGACGAGGTCAGCACAGGTCAGAGGTCAGCACAGGTCAAATGAAGTCGGTGAAGGCCACATCAGACCTGACTAAGCGGTGCTAAAGGATCTCTGAGTAGTCACACCACGTCGGCATCGACGCGTTACAACGCGGCATTTACGCGTCATGGAGAGTTATGACACTGCTACGGGTCGGCACAACTAAGCATGAATAGGTCAAAAGAGGTGATCAAAACACCATGCAGATAAGAAACATTGCAACTAACAGCACATGGCATGGCGCGAAAGGTCAACACAAAGGAATGTCACTAGGATACAAGTAACTTAGGTCCATGAATCATGGCGCATACAAGTAAAACATTCGGGTCCGTAGAGGTTGAGCTCTGTCCATGAGTTTGTGACCAATGAACCGCATCGTTTACGGCACAACTCACGCTTCGATGCCCACAAATAATGCAGTACGCCGTGCGTCGCGTATATACAGTAGCTTATGCCCCCCTTGTTTACAATATGGATAATTAGATAATGCAGTTACCGTCCGACCTGATCATTTACTAATCTGCATCCCTCGTCATGTTTTTGCCCGGTGACGGGAGTGCGCGCTCCCAACATGTTGTACGCTGCAGATCTGCTGAATAATTAACGGCTCACTCGCGCGGCCGGCAGCTACCTGACGGCGCCGACGCACCTCACAAAGGCGCCCCGAAATAGCGCCGGCGGGGGCGCGTCCGGCTCTCTGCGACTCCCGACCGGGCCATGCATTGATCGTTGCGCTTTGGGTGGGTCTGCAGGGCCAAGGGAGCGGAACGACTTCTGTCGGGTCCTGGCGCCGCCGTCGCCGCCGCCGCGCCTCTCTTATGCAGATCAGGCGTCTCTTTGACGCCAACCCAGCTGACCCCTCGCCCTGGCGCGTGCGCCCGCCTCCCCGACCCCCAACTCGAGCCATGCCGACATCCGCCGGTTCAAACGGAGAGCATCTCCGGAAGGAAGATGACGGCAGCCCAGCCGACGTCTTGACGGTAACTTGTTATGCTCTCCGGTCGGCGAAGAGTTATGTAGAATGCATGTGCAATGTGCAGAGTGCTTGTTTGCATGAAGGGAAAGCTGGGAATATTTCCCAAATTTACCGTTGTGCTTAGACCCAGCCGTGTGGAAGGTAACCTCTCCGTAAATACCAAGGCTACAAACCAACAGAAGATGATAGTTGAGTCACGTTCTAGCTTAGATTGCAGCACAATGAAGACGGCAAATGAATAAATTTCTTTTTCAGCGAATTCGTATCCACGCTGCACACCTGACCGAACCCAATAAGCGGAACGGGCTACCTCAGGCCCACTATTTCGATCACGTCTCTTACGCTGCATCTGCGCACTATTCGAGCGGTGGGATCCGTTCGAGTGGCATCTGGAGAGGTGCGCTACACGAACGTTTTCCTTGGACGTGGTCCTCGTGTTCCGGCCATTTTCCAGGCCGACTGTCCCGGCCCGGCGCCCGTACAAACTTCATCTCATCAACAAGTGGAACCAAGTCTGAATACAGAGCACGCCGCACCGCGTTCGTGGCTAGTCGTTACCGGCGAGCTTATCATGGAGCTCAGTCACACAGGGTGGGCCGAAAATGCACACCTCGCCGCCACCGGCTTTTCCCAAATGCGCTGTGCATCATGACCGAGCTAGTTTATTACCACGCAATGGTTTTGATGTCACATCTGTTGCATGCGAGGGCTATATCCGGCGTGCATAATGTAGGCAGGCATGCCTTGTGCAATGTGCATATCCGCACCAGCTTAGCCTTGGGTTCAGACAGCACCAGGACAATGCACAATGCCAGAACTCCGATTTATATTATCAAAAAATTTTCATCGATCATTTTTTTTTCTATATACCTACGTAATATATGCATTTCCAGAAAGACAAAATACCTACTGAGGAATGGACACGACCAGTGGCGTATCCAGGGGGGAGGCCAAGAGGCCATGGCCTCCCCCTTTGGCATCAAACATGCAAGTGGGCCCTTTGGGTTACTTGAGTGCAGTGACGTACCCAAGGGGGCCATGAGGGGCCCTGAGGGGCGCCCTGGTTACCTGAGGGTCCCCCTGGTCATCTGAGGGGCCCCTGGTTATCTGAGGGGCCCCTGGTTATCTGAGGGGGCCCTGGCTACCTGATTGGTCCCTGGTTATCTGAAGGACTCTTGGTTACCTGAGGGGCCCCTGGCTACTGGGGTCCTGGTTATCTGAGGGGCCCATGGTTACCTGAGGGGCCCCAGGTTTCCTGAGGTGCCCCTGCTTACCTGAGGGGCCCCTGATTACCTAAGGGGCCCGTGGTTGCCTGAGAGCCCCTGATTATCTGAGAGGCCCCTGGTTACCAGTTGGGCCTCTTGGTATATGAGGGCCCCTGGTTACCTGAGGGGCCCCTGGTTACCTGAGGGGCCCCTAGTTATCTAAGGGGCCTCTAGCTACCTGAGGGGCCCCTGATCCATTGGGTGACCCTTGGCCAGTGATCTGAAGAAACCCTGGTCACCTGAAAGGCCCATGTTTACCCGGGGAGTACCTGGTTATATGAAGAGCCCCTGCAGTCACATAAAGGCCCTTAGTTAGGTACCCGTAGATCCCCTGGTATAACCGTCCCCTGGTTATCAGAGGGTCCCCTGGTCACCTGGTGGGCCCAGCTGGTCAATTGAAAGACCCCTGGCCAATTGAAAGGCCCTGGTCAATTGAAAGGCCCCTGGTCACCTGAGAGGCCCCTGATTACCTGAACGGCCCGTGATCACTCGGATTTAATGATAAAGCCTAAGTGATGGCCCCCCACCAGTCCCTCTAAGCCCTAAGGCCCTTACCTACAACGGCGCCTGCGAGGACCCCACACCAGCGCATCTGACGGCCTTTCACCGACACCTCTGAGGGACTAACACAGGTGACTCTGAGGCGCCCGCTCGCTTCACTTCGACATAAAATGCCGTGCATTTTGTGCATACTTTTCAAGCAAAAAATGATATTTTTACTTGCCAATTTTGCACATTTTCTCGGGGCTTAGACAGACAGACATACAGACAGACGGACAGAGGGGGCCGCTGCAAGGGGTGACCGGACCCACTGTGCCCAATCCCCTCATCGAAAGGCTCTGGATACGCCCCTGCCTGGGTTGACAGCGGCATCTGGGTGACCCGTGGGCCCCTTTGAGAGCAGGCGGCCCCCTCCTGGGCGAAAGCCTGGGTACGTGCCTGCTTGAGTGTCCCAAAAGAGCCAACCTTCAGGGTCTCATCCAAAGTACTGGCCCAAGCATAAATAAAGTCAAACTGCGTCAAACTATCTTAAAATGCCATTTGATGGCCCTCAGAGGCCAAGGCCGAGCCCGCAGAGGCTAGCGTGGGCCCTCAGAGGTCGCTTTGGCGGCCATAAAGAAGCTTAGACTCGAGCGTGGGATCCTTTGACGCTGGTGTAGAGCCCTAAGGAGCCAGTGCTCAGCCCTCTAAGGCCAGCGTGGGGCCCTCTAAGGCCATTGTGGGGTCTTCTACGACCAATGTGGGGCCTTGTAAGGCCAGTGTTGGACCCTCTATGTCCAGCATGGGGCCGTCTATGTCCAGCGTGGGGACATTTAGGCCCAGCGACATGGGGCCTTCTTAGGTCAGATTGAGGCCCATTGGCCACCGAGACTAGCTTGGGGCCCTCTGAAGACAATGTGGAGCCCTTTTAGGCCAGTGCGGGGCACTCTGTGACCAGCGTGAACCCTCTGAGGCCAGCGTGGGGCCATCTGTCATCTGACTTCAGACTTCAGAGGCTGGTGCTGGGCCTTTAGAAGCCAGCGCGGGCCTTCATAGGCTGGCGTCGCGGGGCCATTAGAGGCCACCTCGAGGGCCTCGGCAGCTATTTTTCAGATCTTATGCATGTTTGGCCCCCCTGAGGTAGGGGTGGCCCTTAAAGGCCGGCGTGGGTCATGGGCTTCTATAGACCGGCGTGGGTTCGAGAGCGGCATAGGGTCGTCAGACTGACTCAAAGACTCCCAAGAGCCAGCGGGGGGGGGGGGCCTATGAGGTCAGCCAAAGCATGGGTCTCCTGAGGACATTATGGGGCCCGGAGGCCAGCGTGGTTCACTCTGTTGCCGGTGTGGGGCTTGCAGATTCAGAGGCCAGAATGAGCCTTTGCCCTTTAGATGTCGGAGTGAGGCCAATGTGGGCGACATAGAGCCATCAGAGTCTAGATCAGAGCTCAACCATCTCCCGTTCTCCCGTTACCCGGAATTGCGCGATCGGACGGTAGGGGTCGGGGTCTACGCAACAAGCTCTGCTTAGCGTTGGCTCCGGCTCTGTCAATCCGTCCATTCAAACATTCGAGCTAAATTGAATATTTACAAAAAAACGAGTCGGGCCCTTCTAAAGTTAAGGGTAGGTATCATCCCTCAACCAGCGCAAGACACTAAGAGATTAACCCGCGCCCTGGTGGGGTCTGTTTATAACGCGACCTGGTGGGGGGGGGGGGGCTATTTTTTGCCCCCCCTCGTATCTCCGAAACTACTGGACGGATCCGCAAAATTCAAACGGCGTTCGAAAGGCCTGTCAAATTTGTCGAAGGAAACCAAATTTCATTGACCTCGGGGTCACCGATGACGTCACAGATCAGGTCAAAGATGAAATGTTTCACCGTTTACGGGTCTTCTAGGGAATGCGCTATAACACCGAGGAAAACGCATTTTGTCGAGAATCAGCGATAGGGCGTCAGTTGCCTAGTAGATATGTTGCTATTAGAGGTCACTGACAATACCAGGTCAGGTCACAGGTCAGGTCACCAAGGGTCACAGGTCAGGTCACATGAGCCCAACTTTACTAAGGTTGTGTGATGCATGTTTTATGGCCAATTTTTCATTTCCAACTCAATGGTGTTGGTTATAAGACTATCAGGTACGGCTTAGGTCACTTTCTGGTGAAGTTCAGGTCAAGGTCAGGTCAAGGTCAGGCCAAAAAAGGTCAAATTTTAAAGTTGATAGTTTTGCATAAAATGGGTATTGATTCGATGCAGCTCGTCACGGGGAGTCTAATGGTGGTCTTTGTTTTGCGCTACGGGGTCTAGAATTTCTAAAAATTGAGTTTGAAAATTTGACGTCATCAATTTTGAACAGTTTTTTCGCTATAACTTCGCCAAAAAAAGAGGTATCAATCTCAAATTTGGTATGTGGATGGAAGGCGGTAAAGACTATCACATATATTCCGTTTTTTTTGCGAAATTCCAAAAACTTTTTGGATTTTTCGGCTAATATATCCAAAAAAAAATATTTTTTTGATTTTTGGGGGTCAAAATAAAAAAAAATCAAAAATCCAAGATAGCAGTTTTGTAGCGCTGTCAATTCTACAGCTTTTATGTCCTTATCATTTTTATGTATTTGCAATACTGTAGGCCTGACAGCTCTTCCCGCGAAACCCTTTTTTGGGTCGAAAACGGCAGAACATGACGTCACTCTGACGTCATTTCCGGCCAACCTATCATAGCCTTTGGAAAAAAATTTTTGGTCACAATGTGTAAAATTGATGTCCGGGAGGGTACTGAAAGTTTGGTGACGATCGGCGCAGCGGTTCTGGAGATATATCGAAAAGTCTGGAGGGGGGCAAAAAATAGCCCCCCCCCACCAGGTCGCGGGTTAACATCTTCCCTTTGAAAAATATTACAACCGTAAAAACTTGGCAAAACATTTTGCTTTTGATAATCTTTAGTGGCCCCGGCAACGACCAAAGCAAAAAAAAAACTGTATGCCAACTGCTGCTGAAATAAATTGTACACTACATACAGAGCTATCGATATCGATGGCTTTTTCACGTTTTTTTTCTTTTTTAGATTGCCGAGTGTGCTTAAAAAGACTCCCTCACATGGCGAAAGTGGCAAAGAACTGCACCTGGGCGTGGGTTAAGTACGCCACTACTGGGGCCCGTAAGGTAAGGGTGGGGCCCCTTGAGCATGTTTGGCCTCCCCCTTTTCAAGATCCTGGATACGCCACTGGACACGACCACAGCAGCAACCACAACTCCTCACAGAGATGTTTGGTCTACCCTCTTCAATTTAGCTCAGACAGACAGCTGGCAGCATCTAATCAATCAAAGCCGTTAGTTTCAGGCGACACCACAATATTTCCACGAAAAGTCATCCGACGCCGCCAAAACTACATTCCCTTCTTAGACAAGGCTTGGAAGCTGGACATAATCCAAATCCCTGTAACTGCTTACATTCAGCCATTGCTAGGGCCTATACTGAACGTTTCTGAAATTGTTTTTGCCCTCTGTGGACGCATGTCAGCGGACATGCGAGCGTGCCCCTGTCATATGCCATTGTAGCATCCGGCGCGGCGACCGGCGCCATTGTTGTGGCGATGTCAGGAAAGGTCTGGCATCTATCTGCTGTCTGATGTATGAAAACGACTCACGATCTGAAGCATTGCTGATCATATTCCGAGCATTGAAATCTGTTCATGCACCAATGCAGGACATATCGCTGCCGTACATATGATCACTGAGAGCCGGGCTAATGGCTGTCAAGTGTCAGGTCACCATTTCAACCGAGCTCCTTCGGACCTGTCCTACTTCGCGCCTACATAAAGAACCAAAGGCCGCCATAACCGAGCACCAAGAGCAACAACCTCACGCCCGCACTCCTCTAATTAGCGTGAGAACTCCGACACTGTCTGTCGGCATCCACCGACCAATACAGTCCACAGCCGTCCGCCGCGCTACGTTCCCACCCCAGTGACGTCACGGGCCATTCATTGCGTCCACCGGACATTGGTGGACCGGCTCATTTGGCGGCGACGCAGCCTCTTCTCTGGGCCGCTCCCAGGCGGCGCTGTTTGTCCGCAATTACCGAGCGGCCACTTACGGGTCGACGTGTCGCGGACAATAACGGAACACAAACAGCGGCACGCAGCACACTGTGCGTCCGAAAGGACCGCGGATGTCAGTGCAGCAGCGGTGGCAAAAGTTCCGATATGTGATCGACAGTGGGCTGATCGGGATAGGAAGGAGTCAGTGCTTTTACAAACTGTAGAGGGGTGCACCACTTTGTTGAATTCCGTTCAATTATTACGACACATTGTCAGTGGTCAATGTTGGGCATGTTCTCCCAAGCTAAATCGGAAATCCTGTTCAATATGTTGGTCATTTGAACTGCGATGCTTGCTGCAACGCAACACCGGAACACAACTCCAGGCAGCGGGACATAAAACAAGGTCATTAAGCCAGCTTCCGGAACAAATCAACCCATCAGATTTCGCCGAATATGGAGATGTCAGCCGAGGCCGTCCTCACTCAGACTGCAATCCAGTCGGGTGGGCGGTTATCTGGCGATCTCTGGTGCCCCCAGCCTCCCCGCGTCGGTCAAAGAGCCAGTCAGGCAGCGGAAATCCGTCCCTCCCAGCCACTGACTATGGAGCGGCAAAGTTGCTGACCACAACTTGTAACGGCGACATCCGTCGAGTTGGACTCGTCTTCCTGTACTCGGCATGGCTTTTCGCTCGGTGCAGACTTTGATCGGTAGCCTCTGTATGTATGGGCAGGGTCAGTGGCTTACATAATGCTAGATGCCACTGCTGGTGTTAAGTCTGACTACCACAATCTGAGAGAATTTAGCGTATGCAGCTACCGCAGCCAACAAAACGCAAAAAATCCTAAGCACATCTCTTTATGAGATCTTCATATATCTCACCAGTATTTTTTTATTACATGTTAACTATATGTAAAAACGTTGTATTTATGCCTTTCCCCGCAGCGGTTCGGCGGCGCAGTGGCCGGGCTCTCCTCGGCGGGCCGATGCTCAGGTGTCGTGTTTACCGACGTCACCGCTGTGCCAGGCGACGGCGCCGTTTTGGAGGCGCTGTTTGCCTCACCGTCGCCTGTTCTATTTGCCGGGGACGGACGTGGGAACGGAAGCAGAAGCGAGGGAAGACGGTGGACAGAGAGAGGGCGTGATAGGATTAGGACGGTAGTGTGGACAATGGTGGCGAGGCGGTGGCGCAGCTGCTAAGAGCCAGACGTTCCCTCGCTGATTTATTGAAGGGTAGAATGGCGGCAGTTGATAGTGCTGATATTGAAGCTAAAAGCTAAGCATTTGTGTTAAATGTTCACCTTGTTATAAATAGTGGAACGTTTGTGTAGCTTATATTCCCGCGTGTTGGATAATGAGAGATCATGGCTGTACTTGGACTTTTGAAGGTGACGATATGACATTTGTAAAACAGCGTATGGCTGGGACTATTGTTTTTTTTTCTATTTGCCCTCAGGTAGTGGACAAAACATTTTCTCATTTACCTTACTCAAGGGATGGCCAGATCAACAACGGAAGGTTTTCAATCCTTTTTCAGAGCTAAATATGTTAAAACAAATTTATTGACCGTCTTCCAGGGTTTGAGCTATACTAATGGCATGGTAAATAGCCTTCAGACACGTCTGTTCCTAACGTTTCTGAAGCATGGCTTATTCTGCAGAAGAGGGCATTGCCATAGACGCCAGAACAAATGCTCTGTCCAAGCCTAGTCGGGTGGCATTAATAACCACATAAGAGCAATCGACAGGCTATTTATTCACACATAGAGACCAGCCAACGGCCTCTTCACTGAGCTCTCACAAAGGAAAATAAGCCCGAGCGGGGCGCAACCACGTGCCATGGATTCCTTTGACATTTTGCAGCCACGTACAGCGTATGCACAAAATATAGCACGAGGCTACGTAAGTAAAGCTGTGCACGGCCGCCAAAGAAAAATATTGCATGAGCTTGTCACAGCAGTAGCTCTGCAAGAAGCTCAATGTCAACATTTTCAGGTTTTATGTTTCAATTTTGCAGCAGCTATGACGGGAAAATAGGCTCATTAACCCGTATCCCACCGCCACGCCACTGAGATTCAGATGAGATCGTATGCGTTGAAAATGAAAGGACGTGCAACATTCCGGCGTAATGTGCGTGGCATGCTTGTTTGAGAACTTTCACCACTGAAACTCTGTATTTGTATTTTGCATCATCCTGAAATGTATTAATCACTGAGTTTCTTAAAAAAACGCATGCATACTTGCATAAGAGGACATAAGAGCACAAACAAAACGTATCGCTAGGCGTGCACCCAGCAGTTCCCGTTCCCTCTCTCACCGATATAGAGTTTTCCATCAGTGTGCAGTCGGGAGCGGCCCCTAGCCGGCCGCGAGGTCCGCTCCGGACGGTGACGGTCCACCTGAATCGAGGCCCAGCGGCGGCGGCGCCGCACCCGCACACGGTGCCACGCGCCGTCACTGACCGCGTGCTGAAATACAACGGGAGGGCGTTAGCGAGTGTGTGATCAAACGACGGAAAGTCATCGAGCGCATATTGAAACATCACATCGTTACATTTTGCATACTAAAATAACGATGAAATATCGCCGACTTGAACAAATTGTCAAAAGTAACATAAAGATACCGTAAAGAGGCACAAAAATATATATTTCCATGAAATGCAGCTCATTTCATACTATATTTAACTCCACACATACCAAGACAAACTCTTTGTGAGTCACGTTTAAAATCGCTGCTAATGCATTCTCAGAATCGCTTCCTTGTGGCCGACTTCTCATCTAAAGAAACTGACCCTACCAACAGCGCAGCAGTCATGACTGAGGTGTCGTGACGCCCCAAAGCCCGACCCAAGAAGAGTTATATCAGCATAATCGCGCGCTACTAGGGTAATGCTACGAGCGGTCTGGCACAAAACACAAATGGTGCGCACTTAACCCGCCATCCGCCACAAATGAGAGGAAAATTCCCAACGAAAACAAAACAGAGGAATTTCCACAGACGGCTGTTCTAAACTGAAATACAACGTCCACTACGGCCCCGTAGTCGGTAACGCGCCCGGCCATTGACTGCTTTCAATCGCTGTTCATAGATGGCAGTAGTAGTGGGCGCCTGAAGTTATGCTGTACCGCAATGCGTTCAGCGGCCAGTAGTCGCGTTACAGATGTCAAGCTCGTAGGATACGAACTACAAATGGTAGTGTGATCACCTTTTTATGAAAATGCATGTTAACCGTTCGCATTTATAAACGTTGGCTCGTCTGTATATGTAGTGTAAAGGTGCATTGCTAAATATCTTACACCGAAGTGTGCATAAATATAACCGTCTGAGTACTGACCTTTGACCCCAGTGTGACGACCCCGCTGCGTGACCTCGCCAGGTTGAAGGTGAGCTGGACGGTGCCGTTGGCGAGTCCGACGCTGAAGAAGTTGGCGTCCACGGATCCGAGCCGTCCCTGCCAGGCGATTAGTCCCTCGGGGTCCGTGGTCCGGAGGTGGAAGCTGAGCCGGTTCGACTTCTGTCGCTTACGACTGCGGGGTAATAGACGAACGGTGTCATCAGCCGGATGACACCGACAATGACAATGATGGGCCGACGTCGGCATGCCGATGCCGAGTTGCCGACGTCACCCCGACGTCGGCCGACGTCGGGCCGACGTCGGCATGTTTACTGGGAAGTGTCCCTTTGATAAGTGGCACTTTGGCAAAGTGACACTTGCCGACTGGCCTTTCTATATGAACTGGGCCCGGTCCTGGTGAGTTGCCGGGGCTGAGCCTGACCAAAGCCAGGATATGCCAAGCAGCCCCCAAGCACTCACCGCACCCGGCTACGGGCGAGCTCGGCTTACGGGCAATCCCAAATGGGATAAAGTTTCCCGTCCAGTCCGGATTAGGGGGTTGCGGCGTGGAGGAAGATTTGAGTTTCCTGAGGATATTTTGAATACAGAAGCTCTTTATGAAACATGAAACATGCATTTTATATTATTTTAACGGTCAAAACAGCGGCCGATGTCGGTCCGACGTCGCTCCGACGTCGGCCCGACGTCGGCTGGACCTCAGCAATTGATCTCGGTCCGACGTCGGCCCGACGTCGGCTGGACATCGGCTGGACGTCGGAACATGCGGGCATATCCGACACCCAGCCGACGTCGTGCCGAGGTTGGACCGACGTCGGGCCGACGTCGGCATGTCGATGCCGAGTTGCCGACGTCACCCCGACGTCGGCCGACGTCGGGCCGACGTCGGCATGTTTACTGGGATCACTCTGAAAATCACACAAATATCGCAAATTTTTATAGCCAACGGTTCAAAATACTGCAAAATAGTTAAGAAAACGCCATAACATCTTTGCTGGCGTAATGAGCCTTGCTAATTGGCTTCATCAGAGAGTTTGGGCCATAAAATGATCTATCCAGTGGTGAAAATAATGTTTTCGAATACAAAAATCTAAACATGCCATTGAATCCGTGGGAATGTTGGTGGGCGCAATTGGTTAGGAGGGCGCAATACACCCACTTTCCCCTACCTATTTCTCTTTTCCCCGTAGTACGCATATATGTGCGATTCTCTCACATAGGTACGATTGATATAGGTACGAGAATAAGCTCCATTAGGGCAACCCACATACAATTCCAGATAACCCGGGATATACATACCTATCACATTTTGTCATACCTCTCTGAGCTCAGTCTCAGTCTAAGGGTTCCCAAAAGAGGGTGGTCTCTTCTCTGGCCGACTTTTGATAAACTGCTTCTCAACCTCCTCGAGATCAAGCTCGAGGGCAGCCTTTTGGTGAATGAAAATGAGTAGGAGATGCGACAGACGGTCCGAGAACGAACGTTCTGCTGACGCACTTGATACGAGGACCGTCAAAAACAGGCGTACTATTATAACCGCCTATAATGAATGTTGCACCGGTCTTCTGTTCCCATACATCAGCCAAATTTTGTGGGGGCAAAACATAGTCTTGCCCCCACGGCCTCCTGCCAGTGGGGGCAGTCTGCCCCCACTGCCCCCACGGTGGCGCCGCCCTTGGTCAAAAAAAGAGGTATCGATCTCAAATTTGGTATGTAGATAGAAGGCGGTAGGGACTATCACATATATTCCGTTTTTTTTTTCGAAATTCAAAAAAACTTTTTGGATTTTTCGGCTATTATATTTGAAAAATCTATTTTTTGATTTTTGGGGGTCAAAATCCAAAAAAATCGAAAAACCGAAATAGCAGTTATGTAGCCCTTTTGATTCCACACCTTTTATGTCTGAAACATTTTTCTGTATCTCTAAAGCTGTAGGCCTGACAGCTCTTCCCGCGAAACCTTTTTTTGGGTCGAAAATGGCAAAAATGACGTCACTCTGACGTCATTAGCGGCCAACCTATCATAGCCATTGGAAAAATTTTTGGTCACCATGTGCGCTAGCTGCTCCCGGGAGGGTACTGAAAGTTTGGTGACGATCGGCGCAGCGGTTCTCGAGATATATCGAAAAAACTAAAGGGGGGGGGGCAAAAAATTGCCCCCCCCCACCGCCTGGAAGGTTAAGACTTACTGGAGGACTCAAAACAGTCGAAAATGTCTTAAAATAGCCAAGCATGTGTTTCGTTATGCCTGAGGCTAAAAAACTGGAGGGCCGATGACATCAATGTGGTCATCTGGACTACCTAGTCCATGTTCGAGATGAAACACTCGTCTAAACCCTAAAACGGTCCCATAAAGGCGAAAGAGAAGGTCTCCATTTCGTCCCGCTTTGTTCCTATGCAAAAGGCCGGGGTCACGGTATTGCGGGGTTATAGGCCTCCAGACGCTGACCAGGATGCGATTGGTACTCCAGAGACAGTTTTGGGACGCAGAATACTTCTGCAAGAAGACCTGTAAGGAATTTCAGCGTTCTAGCTTAACCCGCGAGTTGCTGGGGGGGGCGTTAAACACCCCCACTTTTTTCGCCGGGCCATAGCATAAAAACGGCGCGCCGCAGGAGCGCCAAATTTGGGGTACCTGTAGGGAATTGATTGAAGTTTATTGTGACAAAGTTTCAAAAAAATCGGTCGGAAAATTTTTGAGATATCGAGGTTTTAGTGACGTCATGATTTCTGAGTTTTCGACCAAAGACGGCATATGTTTAAAAAATCATATAAAATCACAGAATAGACATACAGACATGCCGTAAACGCCATTAGACTGCCAATACCATGAACAATGAAATGGCTATCTTCGATTATTGATTATCGTTCCGCATTTTCCAAAATCTTGAACTGAATCTTGGCAATTTCTCGTGACTACTTCACGACCATGATACATGCATTTCTTAAATTGAACTTTTTTAGCCAAACACGTACACATATGATAAAATGAATGTCACCATCGTGTTCTACGCCCCAAATTACCCATAAAACATGTGTCACAGGCTGCGAATATCAGTTTTGATATTCGGGAATATGTGCCTGCCCGGTTGACCTGACCTTGACCCTGACCTATGCTTGACTGACCCCTACATGGAGCTGACACTCTTGTAGGCCTTATATGATGGATTGTGCACCGTTTTGACAGAGTTTATGACGAGAGGCGCCCATTGCGAAGTCCTGAAGTCCATGCAACTGAAAGCCCGATTTCAGGTGTTTGACCTGACCTTGACCCGACCTGTGACCTCAAAATTCAACTTTAAAGTATTCATCTGAAGCGTCTCGTCGCGTTCTTTCGTTTGCCGCCTCGTGCGTTTCGCTGCGCCTATCGGTTCTCGAGTTATCGGCTGGGGGCGTTTAACGCCCCCCCCCCCCCCCCAGCAAACGGTGGGTGGCGAAATACCCCAGCAACTGCCGGGTTAACTCGAACCGCAAGTATGAACACAATTTTGGAGGAGAAATGGCATCCGAAATGTCGTAGGCCCATCTTCAAGCGAGACACTGAATCGGTGAACAGGTCAAGGAAAGCTCAAAAGCGGTGCCAGGAGAATGTGACAGGCATTTGTCGCAAGATCACATGTCAGGCAACTAATGGGATCCAAGATTTCATGAAAATACGCTGGGGATACTGAAATCGTGTCTCGTCGAAGCGAAACGCCGTTCCAGCCTCCAGGAGCTCACGGCGAATGTTAACCATCGCCCTGGCCGAGGGTTGATGCAACCCCCCTAAGATTTTTCGAAGATAGCGTAAAAACGGCGACGCGCAGCGGCGCCATATTTGGCACAGCCTATGGGGCAATCTTTTTACATATGACCTGAAACTTTCAGGTCCGGGTGATCTTGGGTCAGGTCAACAGGTCAGAAAAACCGATACAAGGTCATGGTCTAATTTCAATTTTCGTTTTCCACCTGTCCAACTCACAGTTTTGGACTGATTTCCTTCAAACTTTCAGGATGTGCTAAGTTCACCGAGTTGTATAACATATAGTTCGGGTTTTTAGAGGTCACTGACCTGAGGTCAGTTGGAGGTCATTACGTCGTAATGTTAAGCCTACGGGAAAATAATAAATTCGGAACATACTGGAGATATCCGCTTCGTTTTATCACTTTTGTGCTTTGAAACCATATCAATTAACAGCAGGTCACTTGGTGCTCCTTTGTTTGGTGTACTTATCCATGGGTCAGGTCAAATGAGGTCAACTGAGGTCAAATAACGTTTTTGCCAATAACTTGGCACATAATGACGCTAGATCTTAAAAAAATGGTGTCATTGTGTTCCTGGTGATCAGCCGAATCGAATGATATGCGATATGATGCAATTTGGTTAACTTGAACTAAATTAATTAATTAAACTTTACTTGAAAATTAAGAAAAACTTTTAATACACTTAAGCAAGCAAAAAAGTATATCATTCGACGCGCCTTGACGTGCTGAGTTCACTGGTGTTTTTCGTTTTTCTCTATCCTAATTAGATAAAAAGTTATAAGCGAAAAAATTGATCTGTTTTTAGCGAAATTTTTACAATTACACCCCCCCCCCCCAACCTCCTAAATATTGACCTAGAGCAACCAAATTTGCACAGGAGCAAGAACTCCAGAGGGCCCACCTACCTACTAAATTTGGTGTTTCTAGGTGCCATAGGAACCAATCGCGAAGGGGGGTCGCATCACCCCCCCCCCCCTGCCAGACCGTGTTATGAAAAATGCCCTGCCAGGGCGAGGGTTAAGTCATTATGGGCTAACTTCAAGCCTGCCACGCTGCGAAACATGCCGGTTGGCATGCTGCAGCATGTATTCGTGTGTTTGGCCATGAAATGAGGAGCACATTGACGTGTCATAAATATATCAAAACGCAATGTACAGCCCTCTGCAAACTGCGTGGTAGGTATTCTTTTTCCGACAAAACCGAGAATGACGCGAATACTATGCTATCGGTCACTCGAAAATCGTAACAGCAAGACGCGCGAGATACCGCATCTTAGATTGACATTATCATCATATTCATTTTCCATCCAGTTTGGCAACAAAACCTAAAAGTTTATATTTGCCCCCAAAACAAACTTTTGCATTTTGTTGCCACACAAGCCATATACTTTGTTTAGTGATAGACCCAATCGAAGGAGTGGAGCATGGCACATCTATGTGAGGTGAGTTCCGACCAACTGTTGACATAGCCTTTGAGTAATTATCGGTTTTGTCGAAAAAAGAATACCTACCACGCAGTCTGCTGAGGGCTGTACATACTCTGTTTTACGTGCAAATTTAAAGTGAGAACGAACTTATGGGACACCCTGTATACCATAATAAATGCTCGAAACAACAACTTCGAGAGCTTTAAGAGGACGTTCGTCATCCTCTGGGCCTTACATAAAAAAATAGATATTTCAAAATAATGCGGATATCATGACAGATGCCCTGGCACCTTCAGCATCGAAAACTGGACAATAAAGCCAGGCTGCACGTTGCATAACCATCCATACGATTCCCCGCCGGGAGGCATCACTGGGCTTCATGCGGGGGAGGGGAGGGGAGGGAGCTGCTGTCAGGAGAGCTGACAGGAGGGAGAGTGGTCGCGGGAGGGGTCAGGGGTCGGACCACTGGCGGCTAACGGTCCGGATACAGTCGTCATCCCGCGACGCCCCCCGGCCCGCCGGGCGGCCCCGTCTGGACGGCAGAGTTACGACAGCTCGCCGCTGGCTCGGCTCAACAGTCAGTGTCGCTATACGGCCGACAGTGCGGGCTGAGTCACGGCCTGGGGCGTGGGCGGCCCATACAGAACTGCGACTCCAAAACAGGATGCAGGTATACTATGATGGAATATACATAAACTGTTGGGTCATAGATAAATGTGATGGTGTTCAATAACACAATTTATTCAATAGGCCCTGATGGTTGGTCGCACTTATAAAACAGCACGCATCGTCACCCTTTTCTGGGCTGATGCATTGCGGGAGCCTCATTCCTCACTCTTCAGCCCATTACAATACTGGCTAGGAACAAAGGAGCAACTCTTCCTCCTCCCTTCCTCTCTCTCTCTCTCTCTCTCTCTCTCTCCTCTCTCTCTCTCTCTCTCTCTCTCTCTCTCTCCCTCTCCCTCTCTCTCTCTCTCTCTCTCTCTCTCCCTCTCTCTCTCTCTCACCCCCTCTCTCTCTCTCTCCCTCTCCTAAAAATGATAGCAGCCCAGCCCATCTGGCGAGCACGGCTGCGAAGCTAAGCAGTAGTACGGTGGGACTGTCGGCAGCTCTACCTTGTTACCACATCACGAGGGCGCGCCTCCCATCACAGAGCCGGCAATAACACTCTACTATCACGACGGGGCTGTTATCACGGAAGGTAACGATAGCACCCTCACCGTCTGGCGTGGCCACTATCACACAACGTAGCAATAGCAGCCGGAATTCAATTATCCGGCGCCAGCTAGCATTGTATGAGAGAGGTCATGGGGTACTAGATAATGACGTTAGAGATATACGCGTATCACGCACCGCTTAAATAGACACCAGACATCTCTATGGTATATGGGGCGTTGATCCTACTTAACATTGATTCAGGTAGTATTCATTGGAAGGCGGACGGATTTAGGTACATGGAATTTCTACTGGGACAATTATGTGGTTTGCTGTTAAATGTCAGTTTAGTTGAGAGCTGCATTCGAAGCAATGCATGAGTTGCATTGTCACTGAAGTCACTTGGAACCATCAACTGCGAAATGAATTGATTAGCATGTCGCGACAGCACCGCTGCCGCTGGGCTCGCGACTTCTGAATCCGTACCAAGTATGCATTTCATTTTCTCACGAACACTGAAAATCTTTATATTTATCGCCATTTCGTGGATGCTTATTGTCAACCGGAAACATTCGCATCACTTATCTTTTCACCCGTAAAATAAAACGGCCCCAATAATAGCATTAATGCATCATTCAGGCTTCGGTAGAGACATGTTTTCGGCCGCCCGGCTAGCTCGCCAGCGTTCATTAGCCCATCGAAAGCGTTCAAATAATATCTGACAGCGCTGTCGGCCTCCAAAGGCATTATCTCTGATCGTTAGACTGCCGATGAAGTTTTGGACAGCGGTGCCGGTCGGGACCGCACCCCGGCGCCGGCTGGACCAGCCAGTAAACGGATTACCAGCCCACTGGGCGACCGAATGTCGATATCAAACTTGTCCCTTTGGAAGGGCGGCAACCCCGTCACATGCAATTCTGTGTGTTGAATGACTTGTAATGTGGATGTTTGCACTTATGCTGAGTATGTATCACTGACGAAACGGTCTACCTCCACGGTAATCTCTTCCGTATATATGTGTTTGGCAAAAGCACACCAATGTGAGTATTCTTGTTCAGAACATGACAGATAAAACGCAGAATAATACAAATAGTAACTCACGCTCGACGGATCATGTTGGGCAGAAGAACGAACGCCTTCCCGTTGAAGTGTACGGCGTCACTCTGTCGTCTGGCGGCGACTCGGTCCAACCGAGTCCGACGCACTTCTGAAACACGAGTGGAGGGTTTTGCATTTCAGCAGCCATCCATAGGAATGTTGCATAGGAGGGCAGGCACAGGGCAGATAGACCCAAATACAAACAAACCACTAGACGGGTACGGGTAGTTAAAGAAGCTTGTTAGAAACGATTAGCCGCAAGACTAAGGACACACGATTAGAAGCATTTGAGTGAAACATACCAAGGCCAACAAGATACAGCTATATAATTGAAATTTGGTTGAAAAGTGTGCTAGAGTTGTGATGCTAATAATGCTGAAATTTCTACGTTTGTGTTTGTATGTAAGTTTTGTTATGCATCTGAGGAGTCGCTTGACTAACAACGTAACCTAATGTGATGTTTTGTACAGCTATACTAAGTAGAGTACTCGTGTGTCTATAGGCTGGCTGGCGAGAGAGAGTCTTTGGGAGACACCTGAAGACTGCGGAGGTCCATTTCACGTATGTGGGCGACCGAGGCTATATATCAATCGAGTCGATAATTAGAAGCCTCCCGATTCGCAGCTAACGGAAATTTATAGACTGATGTTGTAGGAAATCGTTACCCATTGATATGCTGAACATTTCACGGCCTCAAACAGCTGAGGAAGATACATCTGATATAGCTTTCGTAAGCTTGGAAAACATATCGTCGTCGACAAAATGCTAAACTAAAAATAAAAAGACGGTGACGTCAATGGCGATCTATTCATAGACGCTGTCTGGCAATGAGTACCTTTATCATTTTTTTCAAGAAGTTACAACGAGAGCTTGCAAACTTTGGAGACTGGTCCAGCGTCACAAAGTCCAATGCCTGTCAACCGTTACCATATAAATTTAAATTAACAAAATTTCAAAACATTGCTATCTTACTTTTGTGACAGTGCCGTCCGGTGTAGCTCTTCGTGCACTGACAGATATAGTTGGCTAGCCGGGGCAGGCAGCGGCCACCGTTTTTACACGGACTGCCACCACAGGGAGCGCCGATATATCTGAAACAAACGATGTGGTGTGAATGTAAGCGAGCAGAGAGAATGAGGAAGAAAACACACACTAGGGAAAGGCTCTAGAAAATACAAATATGTCATCATCTATTGACGCATATATGAAGGAAAACAAACCGAACGTTCTGTACTTATATCAAATGTCAGTTCAGTCATAGACCTCTGTATACAGAGGTATATGGTTCAGTCTAATCATCTACAGCTCAATTTATGAACAACTAAAACCTTCGTTTGCTTCTTCCCACTGCCAAAATTCAAAAATTGATCATCTTTCCAGCCCGATACCCTCTCCAGTCACGGTACGATCACCACTCTCTAGTCAGTACCCAAGCAAAGCCCGCCTGTCCTTCCGTTCCAGCAGCGGATGGGGGCTCCCGCTCACGGCTCGGCCGGTCTCGTGACCCGCACCTCGCCACCTGCACACGCCAGTCCCCCGAGAGGTCACATAGCGCCGTATAGTGGCCCAGTGGCTCATCCACCGCCGGGCTCACCGTGCGCTTACAGTGCCAAAGTAATCAGATGGCACCGCCGTGCCACGGCACGCACGCCGCATTAACGAAACGCCCCTCAAAGCATGTGCAAACAACAAAATACCACACGCGTTAGGCTGAAAAGCAGCTGAACCCTAAGACGCTTAGTGTAGGAAAAGCTCATTTGAAATTCTGAGAAAGTTAGAAGGCAAATTATCATTATCACGGCATCAAAATTGACTTGCACATACATATTTCATTTGAGGGCGTAGTGGGGGATTCTAGGACATATCAGGATGCTAAAATGATTGGCATAACTACACAGTCCAATATAAAGAACCAACGTTTATTGCCATACAGTGATCTTTGTTTCCAAGATGGAAAATCGGGAGGCCTCAGAAGCGCCATTCATCATCACGGAAGTAACATGCAGTTTTGATACGTCAAACATTTACATGTAAGGAAAATTGTAACGTATCAATCACAGTTTTTTTCTACAAATGAAGCTGTTTAGGTATACGAACGGATGCCCTCCATGATTATTCTTGAGACAATCCATTATGATATTGAGGCTGTTCTCAAATGGATCATGAGCTAACG